ATTTTCTAAAATTAGGTTCAATTCAACCCAATAGTTCATTGTACTTATTAGTTATTGCTTTATTTACGAAGTTAAATTATTTCATTAATTCGATCTAGTGCATATTTATTAAACGGGAGTTTTTTTGATAAATTCATTTTCTAAGAGTTTTATTCCATCCAACCCATATTCTTTTTGACTATTCTATTAGGTCCAATTTGAGATAAGAAGACCAAAATACCATTTTCATCTACTTATATTCCATTTAGTTCATATTATTTTCTTATATTTCAATAAGTTCTATGGGTGACATAATTACCAAAATACCGTGGGTGCCCGGAAAATGTTCATATCGTCAATGTAAATGTTCATATCGTCAATGTGTAGGGGCTCGGCCCATGTCGATCCTCGTGGGTGCCCGGAAAAATTCGAGTCGGGCTGGCCTGGCCCACAGGCCAAAAAAATAGGCCCGGCTTGGCCGGTTGATAATATGAATATTCACATTGACAAGTTAACATTCACATTGATAGGAGTGTAAAATTAGCCCGCGGCCTGTGGCCGGCCCGAAACCCGCCTGCGGCTAATCAACAAACACAGTCTACTTCTTGAAAATCTTCAACAAACACAGTCCACCCAAGCCACCCCATGTATCCAAGCAATCTCTGTGAAACACATGACTACAGTTGCACAAATCTTTGTTGATTTTATCAGCAGAATAGGTTTCTATCTATTTGCTCCACTTTATCAATCCCTTTGTTTCAACCTCAAATAGGTTTCTATCTTCACACCTATTTGAGTTTAGTATGATCCTTAATTAATCCTTAATTAAATTACATTTGGATATATATAATTATAAAAATAAATATTTTTTTTCAATATCAATTTAACTATTTTATACTAATTCAGATTAAAGTATTCAAAAATAGAAATGTTACAGTACCAATCTTCCATCCCACTGCTATATTAATGCCACGTGTTTTTTAATCAAATTAGCAGCAATCCTCATTAGTGGCGATCCCTTCTCTCTCCTCTCCCCTTTTCTTCTCTTTTCTTCTCTTCTCTTCTGTCTCTTCTCTTCCTCTTTGCTTTGCTAAGTATATATATATATAATTTTTTTTGGATAGGAAAATGAATCAGAAAATGAAGATGGATGAACGTGACTGCAATGACAAAAATGGAAGGATTGTATCAACATACAACTTCCCGAAATCTTCATCCTCCTTATTCATAAGGTAAGACTAATCCTAAACAATCATTCTCTAACCAAATCCCATGAAGACCAATCTTTAATTCAAACACCATTCCTCTGTGAAATATATGTATACATATACATACATCTTGTTAGAATATATAATATATTATGTTAGTATAATATTATGTATATTATTATGTTTAGCTTTAGCTTTAATAATTAGTGTAGCTTTAGCTTTCATAATTAACTTGCTTTAGCTTTATGCTTTCGGTGGCTCTCTCTCCAATGTATCACAGGCTATAAGAAAAGAGTTAGGCTCCCTTTGTAAATCAATCCATGAAATACACATTTCATTTATTCACTTGTTCTCTCTCTCTATCAATTTTATCTTTCAATGTATATTTTTGCTCGTGACTTTGTCACATTTAAAATCTAATATATATATATATATATTAATCAAATTGATATGCTAATATAAATTTGAGAAATGCTAATATATAAATATAACATTAGACTGAAATGAAATTTTCCCTTCATTCTTATGACCACTGACTACTCCACTCTAAAATATAATATACAGCCCGCTGAATAAAATATAATTTCATGTGAGAAAAAAAATAATATAATTTCAGAAATTCGAGGTGGTGGGTTTCCAATTTCACGTGCAGTCCTGCAGAATTTCCTCTATTATTGTTTCCAATGCGTCTTCAATTCTTGGATTGGAGCGTATGCTTTTGGAGCTTATTGAGTCATCTTCATCTTCCCATAGAGCATTATGCACTATTTGTTTCCAGTTTTTTTAAAATATTTTTCAAAAAAAATTATTTTCTTTATTTTCATATTTTTTTTTTATTTTTACTGATTTTTTAAAATATTTTAAACATTTTTTTAATTTTCAGACACACCAAACATAAAATACACTTAAGAAGTATAATTTTTGTGAAAAAAATCTTCAAAAAATTCACTAAATACCAAACATATAAAAAAAAATGAAAATTCATGTATATTTTTCATATTTTCATATTTTTGTATATTTATTAATTTTTAAAAATATTTTTTCACAAATATTTTATTTTTTAGATATATCGAAGTAAAGTGCATCTAAAAAAGTAAAAAATGTTTAACATTTTACAAATATTCACTAAAAACAAAAAAACAAGAAAAACAAAAATCTCAATTTTTAGAAAATTAAATTTAGAAAACTGAAACCAAATACACTTATTATTATTATTATTTGTATTATATTATATTCACGCAATGCTTTTCCAGCTTAAAGCAATGCCTGCCCACAAGTTCATGTCCTCTGTTTGTTTCCTCAGAAAACTAGGGAAAACACATTTTAGTTGGAATTTTCAACAATTGATGAAAAGATATTCCAAAATTTAACAAAAAATTGTACCAAATTTTTATTTTGTAAAAAAAAAAAAATTCAATTACAAAATATCATGGCCCCATCTTATGTAGTGTAATTCCCCTAAATGGCAAATTTTCAGCCTAACATGTCTGACATTTTAAAAGTCAGATTTTATTTTTCGTCCTAATTTTCTAAAATTAGGTCCAATTCAACCCAATAGTTCATTGCACTTATTAGTTATTGCTTTATTTACGAAGTTAAATTATTTCATTAATTCGATCTAGTGCATATTTATTAAACCATACTTGCCCGTTACAATTTATTTAAAGTAGTTTTTAATAAAATTTACATTTTAAAGTCAAATTATTACAAAATAAAAACAATTTAAATACATACGTTAAAAGAATTGAGGTTAAAAATGTTGTGCTCTTCTAGCTCACAATTAGCTCACAATTGTTATAAAGTTAATAAAGACTAACACAACTAATATATCAAGTGCATGAATCCCAACAACCCAATACAGTAGGGAAAATTACTTAATAATTTCAAAGTATAACGTGGTCATATTCCATATCAATTATTAATTACCTAACCCTCATGTTATTTTTCATTCTCAATATAAATTGTGGACCCCTACTTATGACGTACCATATGTTCATATTCTGAGAATATTGAATAATCACCCATAAACTACTATCACAAAAGGTATTAAACTCTTCTCTATATAAAGCCTTGTTTGACATAACCTATTTTAGTCCATTTTTTTTTATCTTTTTATCTTTTTTAGGTCACATCAATCAATATCTCCTCTCTACTTTTCTATATATCTTTTTATAAAACTCACTCTACAAAAACGTATTACACACCTATTAATTCAAGTGTCATGATTTAACGAAAAATTGTGCTCTATCTTGTGTTTAACTTGATTCATTCCCAATCAAACTTCTCAATTAGAGAAACCCAACAATTTTCAACCATGTATTGTCAATTTAAGAGGTACTTGAGGGCCATCAGAATTAATGAATGCATCATGTAAAAGAATTAAGATAGATATTAAGCCTCCGTTTGGAAAGTTGATTGACTTTTTAATTTTTTTGGCTATTTTAGTCTGGGCTTAAAAGTTTGGTTTAGAAAGGACTTTTTGGCTTTTTTGAGTTTTTTTGTGAGAGAAGAATGTAATGATTATGGGTTGGATGTGATGTTTTGTTTGTTATGGCTAAAATAGCCAAAAAAGCCCAAACCATGGCTTCCCAAAAGAAGCCTAAGAAATGAAAAATGGTTGAGATCATTAAAAGTCGTGCTCTAATAGCACTATTAATGATGTGACATACCTTTTTTTTTTTGACGTTCTCAATATATTAGTGTTATTAATAGTCTTTTTTTTTAATGGTATGAATCATTGTTATTTAATTTTTTAAAAACAAGTAATATATTTTTTATGAAAGGTTGTGTATTAAAAAAAATCAACTTTTTTTAAACACGTTAAAAAGACTATAAGAAAATAATAACAATAATAACTAATTATACATCATATAGTGAGATTTATCATAAAAAAATATTTGGATTACTCACTTATATTTTTATGTAATTAATTTTGTGGTCAATTTTGTGACTATAGACTTGTTCAAATAAAAAAATTAGGAAAATGACTGGTAGCTCGAAAAAAGTGGCCCGATTTTGGCTCGAATCGCAAAACGACGTCGTTTTGCGATTCTTTTTTTTTTTTCCCTTTTCTTTCTCTTCATTTTCTTTCTTTCTTTTCTTCTTATTCGTTGAACACAGGAGAAGAACAGAGGGGAAGAGGAGGAGAGAGGGAGAAAGAGAGAGGAAAGGAGAGAAGGGCCCCTCCTGTGCCTCCGCCGCCGCCGATCGTTGCAGCAGTAGCTCCGATCGTCGCAGCCCCGCACAGCCCCGCCTCCTCCAGCCCGATTTTGATGGCCCCCTCCCCTCCAGTTCTCCTTCTTCCTCCTCCTCCTTCTTCTTATCTTCTTCTTCTCCGAATTCGAGCCTCCGAATTCGAGCTACGAATCAGAGTCGAAAAAATTATTTTGAGCAAACCACAAAATTATTATAAAAAATAATTCACCATATATATCACATGATGAGACTCATTGTTGATTGTTTGATAATTGTGCTCGCTCAGTGACACCCACTCCAACCTTCATTAGCTATAGTCTCTTTAGCATTTTTAATTTTTTGTATGTAATTATACAAAAATTATAAAATTTATTATATTTTTTTCCAAAATTTAAATCTTAAGAAAAATTAGTTCAATTTACCCAATTAATAAATGCATAAATAAACAAAATAAAAATAAAACTCCACGTTGAATTTTGAAAAGAAAAAAGAAAAAAGAAACTTCAGGCCTCGCAAGTAAACCGGGACACGACCAAGTCCTCCACCGTTTGTCTTTCAATTAACTCTCCTCCGACACCTCTCCGATCTTCCTCTCTATATATACCGCCACACATTCACTCCCATTTCTCTACCAAACTTCTCTCTCTCTCTCTTTCTCTACAATGGCCACTCCAACGTTTCTCCTCAAGGACGAGCTCGACATCGTCATACCCACGATTCGAAACCTCGATTTCCTCGAGATGTGGAGGCCTTACTTTCAGCCCTACCATCTAATCATTGTCCAGGACGGTGACCCTTCGAAGACCATCAAGGTCCCTGATGGGTTCGATTACGAGCTCTATAATCGTAACGATATTAACAGGATTTTGGGTCCTAAGGCATCTTGCATTTCCTTCAAGGACTCTGCTTGTCGCTGCTTTGGGTATATGGTTTCTAAGAAGAAGTATATCTTCACCATTGACGATGATTGCTTTGTGAGTCTTCCTTCTATTTGGGTTTTTGTTTTTTAATCTGGGTTTTGGTTTTTTAATGATAAAGTTTAGATCTTGATGCAGCTATGTGTTTTGGGTGTCAATTTGGTAGATCTGTTTGATAATGGCTTGTTATGATCTGGGTTTTTGAGAAAAATTGACTGTTTGATTGTTGGGTTGTTCTTTGGTGTCACACTGTTGGTTTCTTCTAGCCATATAGCTTGTTTTGCTTTGTATTTTTATTATTTTTGTTATCAGTTTTTCTTTTTGGCAGAGAGTACTTGATGGGGTTTAGTAACTTTTTTAATAACTAGCTTGTCGGTGCAAATGTGATGCATTTGTAATTTAACATAAATCATATCTAATTTTACATCTCAATTTTTTGTGTGATTTGTTAATTAAAGAAATTGGATTGAAATTGACAACTGTTTAACAATATGTCTGTATTTTTGGAAGAATAAGTGCAAATGTGATGTGTTTGCAATTTTACGTATACATTTTTTGGTGATTTGTTAAATGAAGAAAATGGATTGAAATTGATAACTGTTTAACAATATGTGTACTTTTGGAAGAAAAAAGAATAGCTTAACAAACCTTCAAAATCTTATGAGTTGTGTGCTTTATATAATACTGTAGATAGTATAGATTCACTTGGTCAACTTCAAACAACTTGATTAGGTCTCTATGACTGCTTGGTTTTGTTAATGAGTGATTTTGCTGATATAGAATTAATCTTTTGAATCACAATAATTATCTGTAATGCCAAACGTTGGGATGGGATTGGTTGCTTTGTTATTTTAATATCCAGATTGAAGTTTGCGGTTGTTTGCTTTGAATCTTATAAACTAGAGTTTATTGATGTAATTTGAATAATGCTAAATTGCTAATAGTGAGATCTTACAGTTTGATTGTTATTTTAACAACGTTTCCTTCTCTGTACTTCATTTTATTGTACCATCAATTTTGCATGTTATATTCAAATAATTCCCTTTGAAAGACACTTTATAAATACTTTCTAGGTAACATATCTGGGGAATCATGCTTTTGTAGTTCATGATTAACTGGTTACAATGTGATCTACAACTGTAGAATGGTTAAAGATTTTACATCTTTTTGAATCATTGTATATTAGTAACAAGGTCTTCACTTTTTCTCTTTTTTAATCTTTGGTTGGTGGGTCCAGATTGTTAAAGTAACCATAATCCTGACTTTAGACAGCAATAAAATACTTTAGTTAATGGCCAATTCTCACGATAGAGACTTCTAATATCAAAAAGGTATAAATTGGATTCTTGCTCTTGCGTATGAACTGTCAAAAAAGATTAAAAGTAACAACCATTTCTCCAGTTGGAAAATCACTACTAGATCCTACATCACAAGTATAATTAATCCGCTGTTTATTATTATTGCCAGAAAACAAAAAATTTGAATTATGAATTTGTGGGTTGTGTATTCTGAATTTCTCTGTGATAGATGGGAGGACCTTAGACATCAAAAAATAATTTTGTGGATCTCTTCCCTTACAAAAAGTGGGGGAGGGACCCTAGACCAATTTTCCCATTAATAAATGCATAAATAAACAAAATAAAAAACTCCACGTTGAATTTTGAAAAGAAAAAAAGAAAAAAGAAACTTCAGGCCTCGCAAGTAAACCGGGACACGACCAAGTCCTCCACCGTTTGTCTTTCAATTCACTCTCCTCCGACACCTCTCCGATCTTCCTCTCTATATATACCGCCACACATTCACTCCCATTTCTCTACCAAACTTCTCTCTCTCTCTCTTTCTCTACAATGGCCACTCCAACGTTTCTCCTCAAGGACGAGCTCGACATCGTCATACCCACGATTCGAAACCTCGATTTCCTCGAGATGTGGAGGCCTTTCTTTCAGCCCTACCATCTAATCATTGTCCAGGACGGTGACCCTTCGAAGACCATCAAGGTCCCTGATGGGTTCGATTACGAGCTCTATAATCGTAACGATATTAACAGGATTTTGGGTCCTAAGGCATCTTGCATTTCCTTCAAGGACTCTGCTTGTCGCTGCTTTGGGTATATGGTTTCTAAGAAGAAGTATATCTTCACCATTGACGATGATTGCTTTGTGAGTCTTCCTTCTATTTGGGTTTTTGTTTTTTAATCTGGGTTTTGGTTTTTTAATGATAAAGTTTAGATCTTGATGCAGCTATGTGTTTTGGGTGTCAATTTGGTAGATCTGTTTGATAATGGCTTGTTATGATCTGGGTTTTTGAGAAAAATTGACTGTTTGATTGTTGGGTTGTTCTTTGGTGTCACACTGTTGGTTTCTTCTAGCCATATAGCTTGTTTTGCTTTGTATTTTTATTATTTTTGTTATCAGTTTTTCTTTTTGGCAGAGAGTACTTGATGGGGTTTAGTAACTTTTTTAATAACTAGCTTGTCGGTGCAAATGTGATGCATTTGTAATTTAACATAAATTATATCTAATTTTACATCTCAATTTTTTGTGTGATTTGTTAATTGAAGAAATTGGATTGAAATTGATAACTGTTTAACAATATGTGTGTATTTTTGGAAGAATAAGTGCAAATGTGATGTGTTTGCAATTTTACGTATACATTTTTTGGTGATTTGTTAAATGAAGAAAATGGATTGAAATTGATAACTGTTTAACAATATGTGTACTTTTGGAAGAAAAAAGAATAGCTTAACAAACCTTCAAAATCTTATGAGTTGTGTGCTTTATATAATACTGTAGATAGTCTAGATTCACTTGGTCAACTTCAAACAACTTGATTAGGTCTCTATGACTGCTTGGTTTTGTTAACGAGTGATTTTGCTGATATAGAGTTAATCTTTTGAATCACAATAATTATCTGTAATGCCAAACGTTGGGATGGGATTGGTTGCTTTGTTATTTTAATATCCAGATTGAAGTTTGTGGTTGTTTGCTTTGAATCTTATAAACTAGAGTTTATTGATGTAATTTGAATAATGCTAAATTGCTAATAGTGAGATCTTACGGTTTGATTGTTATTTTAACAACTTCCTTCGCTGTACTTTATTTTATTGTACCATCAATTTTGCATGTTACATTCAAATAATTCCCTTTGAAAGACACTTTATAAATACTTTCTAGGTAACATATCTGGGGAATCAGGCTTTTGTAGTTCATGATTAACTGGTTACAACGTGATCTACAACTGTAGAATGGTTAAAGATTTTACATCTTTTTGAATCATTGTATATTAGTAACAAGGTCTTCACTTTTTCTCTTTTTTAATCTTTGTTGGTGGGTCCAGATTGTTAAAGTAACCATAATCCTGACTTTAGACAGCAATAAAATACTTTAGTTAATGGCCAATTCTCTCGATAGAGACCTCTAATATCAAAAAGGTATAAATTGGATTCTTGCTCTTGCGTATGAACTGTCAAAAAAGATTAAAGTAACAACCATTTCTCCAGTTGGAAAATCACTACTAGATCCTACATCACAAGTATAATTAATCCGCTGTTTATTATTATTGCCAGAAAACAAAAAATTTGAATTATGAATTTGTGGGTTGTGTATTCATCTTGGCGCATGACTGACATGATTGTTCTTAAACTGCTTACCTAGTACCTCTCTCAGTCTCTGTTTACAACCTTTTTATGGTTGGGACATGCATGTTATGCCCAATTGCTTTGTTTATTTTAGTTACTAATTCACCGACATTTTTCTTTTGGTAGTTAAATAATTATCTAGTTTTTAACTCTGGGTATTTTTACTTAGCTTAATGATGTGAAACCCATATTGATGCTTAGTTTTTTTCTTTGGGTGAATAATATTGATGCTTAGGTTGCTAAAGACCCATCTGGCAAAGAGATCAATGCCCTTGAACAGCACATAAAGAATCTTCTCTGCCCATCAACTCCCAATTTCTTCAACACCTTGTATGATCCTTTCCGAGATGGTGCAGATTTCGTCCGTGGATACCCTTTTAGCCTTCGCGAGGGTGTTCCAACTGCTGTTTCTCACGGCCTCTGGCTTAACATCCCAGATTATGATGCCCCCACACAGCTTGTGAAGCCTCTTGAGAGAAACACTAGGTTTTTTTTTTTTTGCCTTACCAAACCAATTGACTTGAAAATTATGAATCCTTGATTATATGTGTTTATCTTGTAGGTTTGTGGATGCGGTTATGACAATACCAAAGGGCACCCTGTTCCCCATGTGTGGCATGAATCTGGGATTTGACCGTGATCTTATTGGCCCTGCTATGTACTTTGGACTCATGGGTGATGGTCAGCCAATTGGACGCTACGATGATATGTGGGCTGGCTGGTGTGTCAAGGTACCTTTTGATTTGTGAAACATAATTGAGTTTTTCAGAAATCTTTTAAGAGCCGATTTTACTTTTAACAAAGAAGAATTATTCACTAATATCAGAATGTTGTTGGTTGTTTAGGTGATATGTGACCATTTAGGATTGGGAGTGAAGACAGGGTTACCCTACATTTGGCACAGCAAAGCAAGCAACCCGTTCGTGAACCTTAAGAAAGAGTACAAAGGCATCTTCTGGCAAGAAGATATCATCCCATTCTTCCAAGCGATCACTCTTCCCAAGGACTGCACCACTGTGCAACAGTGCTACATTGAACTGTCGAAACACGTCAAAGAAAAGCTCGGGAAGATCGATGAATACTTCGTCAAGCTAGCCGATGCCATGGTGACATGGATTGAAGCTTGGGATGAGCTCAACCCGGGCAAGGGTTCTGCTAAATGAAAAGCTTTGACTGGGAATGGCAATAGTTCATCTATGATATGATGATTAATTAGTGTTCTTAAACATTGTAATCTTTATTTTCTTTGTATTTTCTCGAGATTTGTCTCATCGATGATTGGGTCTAGAGATTGGTTGATGTAATGCTTTAATACTCTTGAAATTTTGATGTGCTTTAGAATAATAAATGAGATATATACTTCATTCAGTTTTGAATTTACACCCAGAAATGCTTGTATGTTTATTTGTGATGATTATTACTTGAAATTTTGATGAGTTTAGAACAACAAATGGTAATATACTTCATTTATTTTTGAATTACAACCATATTTGAATGATTGAAGATGATAGTGGTGGGCCTATGATATGCAAATATGCGCAGGGTAGGTTTGTTTGTTTTTTTTTTTTTGGTAGTCATTCAATGATCAATTGATTTTTTTTTCCAGTTTGTGGAACGGTTAGTTTCAAATTTGGATAAATTACAAACACACTTTTATTAGAATTTTTTATTTAACAGAATTAATTAAAAAAAATAAAATTCATAATTGTTCTCTTATACAATAATAAAATTACTTAAATTATTAATTGAAATATACTTTAACATTATTAAAAACTGTTAATTGACTTGATGATTTATTAATAAAATAGGCATTTTGTTATGAAATTATAAATCTCAAGAGATGAAATATAATTTTTAAAATTATAGAAGGCAATTCATATTTTAATTAAATTTCATGAATTGTATTTATAATTTACCTTTATTTTATTTCAGCAATGCTAGAGGGCCACAAAATCAGTGGCTAAACGACGCAAAACGACGTCGTTTTGACAGTTTTGAGCCATTTGAGCCACTGATTTTGTGGCCCTTAAACATTTTCCATTTTATTTATAGCAATTCTAATTAGGACACGTTCTCTCTCCTCTCTTTGTGCTTGTGCACAAGCACATCTATATATCTACATAGAAAAACAAATATATATTTGATATAAATGTGTTTAGGTTGGTTTTTATTTTTATTTTTTATTGAATGTTATTTTTTTTATTTAAATTTCTTCAATTTAAATTCTAATAAGAAATTATTTTTTATTTTATTCTTTTATTCTTCTAGTTTTATTCTTGTCCCTTCTTTTGAAAATGTTATATCGTATTTTTATTTTTATGTATTTATTTTTTTATCAAGATTTATATCTAAAATTTTAAATCGACCTGATATCTTTATATAAAAAATGGTTATGTTGATCCAAATCATAAGTTTTGGAATTTTTTTTAAATACATGACTATATATATGTAATTCTCTAAAAGTTATTTCTGACATTTTTTTGTTAGCAAAAAAATATTTTGGGCTGAAAAGTTAGGCCCAGGCCCTGGCCCACTCAAAATAGGGCCGTGTACCAATCATTTGCATTATACTCCACTTCAATAATCTAATAAAAACGTTACGAAATGAAATAGTGAAATTTTTTTTGTTGAGCAATCATCGGAGGAGGCAAACAATTTACTCGCGTTGCCCAATGATATATTATCCAAATCACTTTGAATTCTCTCATTTTCACTATAATTTTGTCTTCTCGTAAGTG